TTTGTTGCTTGCTGTTCTGTTAAATTTTGCTATTTTGACTGGGGTGAGATGATATCTCATAGTTGTTTTAATTTGCATCTCTCTTAGGGCTAGGCGGTTTCAGGCCTTTTGTTCATAGGGTCGTGATGAGTCGTGCTCAACTCGAAGGCAATCAACAACAACAGAGACTAAAAACTCTTTTCTGGCCCCTCAGGTCAAAAACTTCTTTATGGACAACTATTACACACATGACCATCAATGTAAAAAGTCTTACTTTTGCTTTCAATTACTGCCCTTTGAGTGGATTATTATTTGTTTTCCTTCTGAGGCGTATAACTTAGGAGATGAGTAACTGAATAAGTCAGAACTAAGACTGCACAATGGAATGCAGGGTCCAAAAGTGAACTCGCAGCACCAGTGCCACGCTGCCCAGTCCTGTGCCGTCCTCACAACGTCCCTGGCCCCGTAGGGTTAAGCCCCTTTCTGCCACTTCCCTTTTCCTAATGAGGTGAGACTGCTGGTCTGTGGTTTTGTTAAAGACACCGGCTGTGTCTTATCCTCTCTGTGTCACAGGCCAGGTACTATAGGAAGGACAAAGCAGGACTTAACCAATGTTAGTCAAAAGAAACTCAATTTGGGCTACACCCCTAGACTGCAGATATGTATTCAGGTGTTTAACTGTATTTCTTTCCTTGTTTAATTATTAGAATTCACGCTTTGTTTAATCTAGCAAAAGGTACAGAACACTGACGATATATTAGCCAACAGAAAGATTTTTGTTTGTTTTAAAGAAGAGACAAAACCCCCTCAAATGTGATTGCAAGATATGCTGGTCTCCCTGCTTTGGCAGCAGGAACTGAAATTAGAGACCAACTGACCCGCCAGAGGCCAGACCAGCAGAGAGCAAACTGACCCGCCAGAGGCCAGACCAGCAGAGAGCAACACTCCACGGGCTACCCCAGCCTCCACGCTGTTCCATTCGGCCACTCCTTCCCACCACATCTAGAAGGGGTGGTCAGGTGTGAAGAAAGGACAAGAATTACATTGTTACAGGAAGCTGAATGAGCAAATAAAGGGAAAAATAAACCAGCAAATTTTAAAAACTGGAAGCATTTCAGATTTTTAAATTTAAGCCAAACAGCAGTCTACTCTCTCAAAAATAGTTATGAATTAAAAATCAGAATTTCCCAGAGCTATTCAGTGGAACAGCCCCAGTTCCCATTTGAGGAGAGAAAAAAAAGCTCCAAGTTCAGCTGGGCTCTGGTTGAACAGGTGATCTACCCCTCATCAGCTGGGCAATTTTTCATTACCTTCAACCTCTCTGAGTATTAAGGCCTCTACGGAAAGACAAATGATGGAAGGTTCTGGCTTTGAGGGTTGCTGTGAGGACAGAATGAGATGACACATCAAAGGCACTTGGACCAGTGCTCACGTGCAGTGGGCAGCTGAAAAACGAGACAAAATCTCTACTGTTGTTGTCCTGTGCCACTGAGTCGCCTGCGACTCATAGTGACCCTAGGTACAGCACCTTTGGAGCCTGCCCTGTCCTGAGTCCTGAGCCAAATTTCACTGACTCCAACACACCAACCTCCTCCATTGCCCTAGTCCCTGTAGTAATCCCTCTCATCGAGGGTCTTCCTCTCCTGCACTGTCCCTCCACCCTCCCAAGCATGATGTCCTTCTCCTGGCCACATGCCTAAAGTATGTGAGACAGAGCTTCAAAATTCTAACCTCCAAGGAGAAACTTGATTTAACCTTCTCTAAGACAGACTTATTTGTTTTCTTGGTGGTTCATGGTATGTTCGAGACTCTTCTCCAGCACCACAACTTGGACTGTCAATATTATCAAAGAAGTAATCAAATTAACATCTGAGAAGATAGCAATTACTTGGGTTTGATCTCCATTATGTGAAATTATTTTTTTCCTATTTATTACTATTATGTCCTTCATTATTATTTGAGTAAAAGTTTTGAAATAATTTTGTCTTTACAAAATCATTCATACACATTTTGTTTTATAGTATGTTGTTGTTGTTGTTGTTTTTGTTGTTGATTGCCATCAAGTCGAGCACGACTCATAGTGACCCTATGAACATAAGGCTTGAAGCCTTTCTAAAACTATCTTGTACCAGTCAGATCTGATTTGATGGTAAACACACACACACAAAAAAAAAAAAGAAAGAAAAAACCCAACAAAGTACTGGGAGCTTTAACCAGTTCATGTGATAAGAAGGAGAAGAACCAAGAAATGTGGCCAATTTGAAATGAGGCAGGAAGAAGGCAGGCAGGGAAGTTGGGGAAGATGGAAAAACCTCTCCAAACCCAAGGGGGCAGAGGCACAGCACTCAGTGTGTGCACAAGAAGGGACAGTGGCTGGAACGAGTGAGTGACCCAGAGCCCAGGACCCGGCCCCATCCCTACCTCCAGAGAGGTCACGTTGAGAACTACAACTTGATGGCACAGGGCTCAAGAGTCACTACCTGCTAAAAAAGAATTCTAACAAAGCAACTGACCTCAAAACATTTTTCGATCTTTGCCTGGTGAAGCAGCTGAGCCATTCCAGGAAGCAGGACCGGAAAGATGAACGTTTCCAAGTAGTCTTTGGGGGAACCTAAAACAAACAATCAAAGCAATCCCACTGAAAAGTCAGAATGAAGAAACGTTTGCCTACGAACCAAAGAAGACATCAACCATTCACAGTCAGTACCTTGTTAAATGTTATATTTTACACAGCACTTGTGAATTAGGCTGTGTTAAAACGTTTCTGCATTTGTTTCCTAAACTGCTCTAACAAAATACCTTCAGTATTTTAAACTAGATGGATTATGAGAACAGAAATTTGTTGTCTCACAGTTCCGGAAGCTAGAAGTCGAAATCAACATTCTGGTTAGGTCACATGAAGTATTCTGGGATTCCCATTTTCCTCAAGGTTAGCCACGATTTCTTGTGATCCATATAGTCAAATGCCTTTGCATAGTCAATGAAATATTAGATAGATATCCCTCTGGAATTCTTTGCGTTCTGCCAAGATCCATCCATCTGACATTAGCAATAATGTCTCTAGTGCCACGACATCTTCTAAACCCAGCCTGTATTCCTGGTAGTTCTCTGTCAGTGTACTATTCTGATAGTTTTTAGATAATCTTCAGCAGGATTTTATTAGTGATAGTAGTAACATCATTCAGTAATTTTCACACTCTGTTGTGTCACCACTTTTTGGAATAGGAGTAAATATGGATCTCTTCGTCCTCCAGATTTCTTGATACACCATGGTAAGCATGTCCACGGCAGCATTTGTTTGTTGAAATATGTCAATTGGTGTCATCAATTGCTGAGGCTTTATTTTATTATTTTTTTTGTCAAGTCCTTCACAGCAGCCTGAACTTCCTCCTTCATCACCATTGCCTCTTGATCATATGTTGTTTCATTAAATTCTTCTGTGTCAGCCAATTCTTTTTGGTACAGTGGCTCTGTAAATTCCTTCCATCTTCTTTTAAATGCTTCCTCAATCATTCCATATTCTGCCCATAGCATCCTTAAGCACTGCAACTCATGGCCTGAATTTGTCCTTCAGTTCCTTCAGCTCAAGAAAAATGCTGAGCAAGTTCAGCCCTTTTGATTTTCTGACTCCAGCTCCTTGCACATTTCATTATAATATTTTGCCTTGTCTTCCCGAGCTGCTACTTGAAATTTTCTATTCAGCTCCTTAATGTCTTGACTTCTTCCCTTTCCTTTGGCTTCTTGGCGCTCTAGTGCAATATTCAGAGTCTCTTCCGATACCCATTTTGGTCTCTTCTTCTTCCTTCTTTGTAGTGACAATTTGCATTCTTCATGAACAATATTCTTGATATCTTCCCTCAGTTCATCTGGTCTTTGTTCATTAGTGTTCAAGGTCTCAAACCTGCTTCTGATTTGGTTTTTAAATTCAGTGGGAATCAAATTTTGATTCTTGTTATATGATTTAACCTTCTGCTTTAATTTGAACTTGCATATGAGCAGTTGATGGTCTGTTCCACAAACAGCACCTGACCTACTTTTCACAACTGATATTGAACTTCTCCAGCAATTCCTTTCACAGATGTAATCAATCTGATTCCTGTTTATCACATCAGGTGAAATCCATGCGTACAGCCTGTGTTT